ACAGTGCTGTACATCTTATTTAGAGAGCCTCAGTGTCTTTTTGGTACGGTCTACCTTATACAGTACTGTAAATTTTGCTGAATGTTCAGTACAGCACTGTAGTTTTATATTCTGTTATACATTACAGTACTGCATGTAAGAGTTATGCAAATAAAAGCAAAGTCATCAAGTTGGAGTTTCCTTTGAGCATTTCTCTGTCCTAACTAGTGTAATGTGCATAGTATATACAACTCCTCATTTAGTGTCAGTTCATTTAGCGACCCAGTTGTGGGACTGTGACTCTGTCCTTAAACGAGAATGTAATCCCAGCATTCAGGAGTTTGAAGCAGGAAGACTGCTGTGAGTTTGAGGCAAGTTGGGCTATGTAGTGAGTTCAAGGCCAGCCTGGACTGCATAGTGAGACCCTATCTCAGGAGGAGGCGGGGAGGAAATAAAAGAATGACTGCAGCCCGGCCGACCTGGCTTTAAGTCTCAGCGCTGCCATGTACGTGCTGTGTGGCCTACACTCAGTATTCGACACAGCAACTCCTGGGAGCAGAAGCTTAGGGCTCACCCAGAGCTGCTGAGTAAGAATCTGCATTCTAACAGGATTCCCAGGTGATAGTGCACACATTGAAGCGGGACAGCAGCCTGTGTGTCCAGTGCTCTCCTGACAGACCCCTCACATCCCGTGAAGAGGGCAGAAGCTTCGTGGGTGGCTCAGGGAGAACGCTTCCTCCCAAGACTGAGACCACCACGAGCCACCACCTGCAGCCCTGCCTTGCTCCCCCACCCCATAGGAAGGTCTCAGAGGTTCAGGGTGGCTTGGAACTGACACTCCGTGGGGCTGAGGCCTCCTGGGAAGGACAGGTCCTTCGTTTCCTCTGTGGGATTTGGGTCTCCGTGGCCCATGGTACATCAGGCTGGAAGTGAATGGGACCAACTGCGGAATCTGCCTCCTAACTGATCGCTCAGTCTTTCCCCACACTGACTCCAGGCCCAGCTTTTCATGGCAAACCTGAATCAGTGCTGCTTCTCATTGCCTTCTGGTAGCCACTGCCCTCAACACCAGGTTCAAAGCCATTAGCCTGGCCCCAAAGCTCCTTCCCAACCTGGCCCTGACCCACCTCGCCAGCCTCTTGCCCTGCACAGCCTTGCACAGACGTTAGGGCCAGACACAGGGAGACATTTCCCATGTGCCGGGGCTTAGGCCCTCCAAGAAGGACAGGATTCCAAGAGCCAGGTGGACAGATGTCCCGGGCCCAGCTCAGGCTGCTGACAGCTTGATGTGTGCCGCTTTCTGCCTGGAATCCCTTCTCCAGACCAGCGTGTTACCAGGTGGGGTCCCACGGGGCTTCTCTCCAGGTTCTTAGTGTTCGGAACAAAGAGTTGGACAAAACACACGGAAAAGGCAGCAAAACTGTACATTTTTGGAAGGTAGAAAAGAGGTACTCTCTACAGGGTGGGAGTGAGCCAGGGAAAAGACTCCCAGCTCCCCTGAGGACAAGGAGAAAAGGGACTTTTGTATCCAAAATTCATGGGCTGGCTTCCCCCTCACACAGATAACACAGTGGGTCATTTGTCCTATCAAAAATTCACTCAGCCTGGTGCCAATTTGAAATGGCTTCATGGAAAGACTCACTTGGATTCTTTTAATTTTTATTCTTATTAACATGTTTGCAGTACATAATTATTACATTCCTTTTGGGGAACTGGTACATGTACATATCTCAATTCTTCCTCCCCTGCCTTCCCCTTTTGTTTTTTTGAGACAAGGTCTTGCTATGTAGTTCAGGCTGGCCTTGAACTCACTATGTAGCCCAGACTCACAGCAATTCTCTAGCCTCAGCCTCCTGAGTGCTGGATTTACAGGGGTGTGCTACTGTGCCTGGCCAGATTCCTGCAAGATGTAAGAGCAGAATCTGGAATAGTGTCTTTTGATTGGTTGTCCCCATATGCAAAAAAAAAAAAATTTAAAAAGAGCACGTTCAGATTGGTCTTGAACAGCACCAGATTCATACGAAAGACTGAAAATAGCACTTTTCTGTATGGTCCACAGTGCTCGGCCTAAGCATGACATCATTTTGGGTCCCATGGCTCTCTCTAGGAAATCGCTTGCTCTACTGCTGGTCTCTTTCTTTCTGGTTAAGGAGGAACTGTGCTCCCACTGGAAGGCTGCCCCTGGGCAGGATGAGGGGTGTCGTGATGGTGGTCCTGGGTTTGAGGGAGTCCCTTGCCCTATTGTCCTAGCTCAAGCCTGGCCGTGAATTTAAGACTCGGCCCTTTCATAGTCACTGTCTGAAGCCTTTCTTCAAGATTCCAGGTGACGGGAAAGGCTATTACCTGTGTGGACCAGGGGGCTCCTGCGAACGGTGCACAGGACGGAGCAGTGTGTCTCCCTGGGGCTCTTCCCTCACAGGACAGCTGAGCCAGAGGCTGGATCCGAAGAAGGGTCCATTTGTGTGGCAGGTGCTCTGTGAGCACTTGCGGATGCAGTGAATGGCGCCATCACCTCCTTGTCTCCCAGGCTGTAATGCAGTAAGCCCCGTAGACAGAGCTTGCCTCAAATTATGCCTGGGCAATCAGGATAACTGAGGCCAAACCTGAAGGAGTCGTCGGACCAATGTTACCCTAGGAAACTGAGCCCAGAAACGCTGAATCACGTAACCCACTGGCACAGATAATGGAAATGATAACTTGAGCTCAAAACTCTGCTCTCAGGTGTTTTCTCTTTGGAGTCTTTTAGGTGTGTGTGTGTGTGTGTGTGTGTGTGTGTGTGCATATGTGTGATGTATATTTTTTGTTGTCCTGGAGATTAATAAAGACCTTGTGAAAAAACCCTTGTCCATGATTTTTAAAAATCAAATACGCCAAAATTAAATTCACACTCTATTCCCTGATTCTGAGCCAACCTCCCTTGCTCCTTTCTTATAGGTATTACTGTTGTTACTATGTGTATACATTTAAATACATATGAATATATAAAGGCATATACATATTTCTGCAGACATTATATGAATGTATTTGTATATCAACATTCCTGAGTGTAAATGAATATTTCAGCAGCTTCTATCACATACATAGTAACAAAAGGACCAGATCAGCTGTGCAGGGGGATGTGATGGTACACTCTTGTAATCCCAGCACTTCGGAAGCTGAGGCAGGAGGATTGGGCTACATTGCCTAGGCTACATTGTGAGTTCAAAGCTGGCCTAGGGCCAGGGATTTAGCTCAGTGGTTCCACCTCTTGCCTTGCAAGTACAAGGACCTGAGTTCGATCCCTAGTACAAAAAAAAAAAAAAAAATCTGGCCTGGACCACATAGTAAGATGTTGTATCAACAAACAAGCATAGACCAGGTCATGATGCTTAGGTTTTAGTAAATTGGCTAGTAAGTTGTAAAATCAATCGATTTGGTGAGTACTGATGTGATTTTGTTTGTTTTGCTGTAATGAAAAAGAACAGAAATGATCAGAGTGCATCTCACATAGATTAAGTATTTTTTAAAAAATCACTTGTTTCCCTTTTTAAAATCAAGCTTATACTGGGGCCTCATCTTATTAAACAGCTTTGTACAGCAAGAGAAACCACCAACAGAGTGAAGAGACAGCATGTGAAAAAATTTTTACTAGCTATTCAGATAAAGGACTATTATCTAGAATATATAAAGAACTCAAGAACGTCACACCCCCTCCAAATATAAAGACCCAATCCAAAACTGAGCATCAAAATGAAAAGACACTTTTCAGATGAAGATTTAGAAACGGTAAATAAATATATGAGAAAATGTTCAACATCACTGGTCATTCAAGAGATGCAAATTAAAACAACAAAGATGCCACCTCACTCCAGAAAGAATGGCTGCTATCAAGAAATCAACCAACAATAAATGCTGGTGGGACTGTGGGGGAAATAAAACCCTTCTCTACTGTTGGTGGGAGTGCAGACTGGTGCAAGCACTGGGAAATCAGTGTGGAGATTCATCAAAAAACTAAAACTAGAGGTTCTATTTGACCCAGCTATTGCCCTTCTCCATATCTTCCTGAAAGAATTTAAAGCATCAAACCACAGCATTATATGCTCACCCATGTTCATAGCAGCGCAGTTTATAATAACTAAATCTTGAAAACAGCCCAAAGGCCCATCAACTGACGAGTGAATAAATAAGATATGTTTATTACTATTATTATTATTATTATTATTATTCAATGGAGCACTACTCTGCCATAAAGGACGAGCTTCAGACCTTTCTAGCTAAATGGATGGACCTTGAGTCCATACTCTTAAGTGAAATAAGTCGGACACACACGTTTCAATACTTCACTGTTTCTCTGGTGTGAGAAACTGAACACGGAAATAAGGACTGAGATGCATAACGGATGTTGGGCAATGGGAAGAAAGTGTTCAAATGGGAAGGGGAACAAGGGAGGAGGGAGGAAAAAGGCAAGAAGGGACAAGAAAGAAGGGAAAAAATGGAAGCAAAGCTTTTGTACATAGATAGGGGAGGAGGCTTTAGGGGGGATGTGATAAAATAAAATTTATTTTATTTTATTTATTTATTTTGCTTTCTTAAAGAGAGGGTCTCACTATGTTGTTGAAACTGACCTGGAACTCACTGTGTAGCCCAGGCTGGTCTTGCACTCACAGCGATCCTCCTGCCTCAGCCTCCATGGAACTCACTGTGTAGCCCAGGCTGGTCTTGCACTCACAGCGATCCTCCTGCCTCAGCCTCCCAAGTGCTGGAATTACAGGCATGTGCCACTACTCCTGGCATAAAATTTATTTTAAAAAAGAAAGCTGCAACAGATATTTTCTTTTAAATATCTGTCTATATGTGCATGCAGATGAGCAGTGCACAATTCACTCCATTTATACTAAAATTTATGAAAAACCTAAAAAGAAAATCAAGCTTACTGAGATATAATTCGCATATAGTAGGGCAAGGGTGGAGGTCCAGGTTGCTTAGCGAGACAGCTTCCGATAGCCTGGACTGCAGGGGCGGCAGGGAAGCAGGACAGGGCTCCCCAGGGTCCTCCGCAGCCCGGCAACGGCAGTGCTTCCCTCACGTGATCAGGCCCTGTGGTGGGCAGGGGTGCTTGCCCGGAGCCTGAGATGACTATGAAAACTGGGCAGGTGCAGTGCGGCCAGGGGAGGGGAAATGAGGAGAGAGAGACAAGCAGGTAAGGCCAGGCTGGCAAGAGGTGTGGAGAGGCTCCTGGCGCTGCGCTGAGCCCCACAAAGACTTGAGCCCCGAGCAACCTGAGTTTGGGGACCGGGGATGGACCGTGATCCAGACAGAGTGAGGCTGGGCGAGCTAGAAAAGAAAAAAAATCAGGCATGGTGGTGCATGCTTGTAATCCCAGCAAAAGGGAGGCTGAGGCAGGAGGATTGTGACAGTTCAAGGCCAGCCTGGTCTACAAAGTGACTTCAAGGCCAGAACTACATAACAAGAAAAGAGAAGAAGAGGAAAAGAGAAGATTTCGCCATTATGAAAAGGGGGGTTACATGAGGCCTGGTGTAGTGGTGCAGGCCCATAACCCCAACTGCTTGGGAGGTTGGCATAGGAGGATCCCTATTTCAAAGCCAGCCTAAGCATCTTAAAATGAAACAATAAAAAGGGCTATGGGTATATGGTTCAGCTGTCCCTGCTTTCAATCCCTGTACCCAGAAATATGAGAGGTTACATGAAATACATAAAAGAAATATATCAAAATGAAATGAAGATGTTAATCTTCTTGGGTAAATGTGGTAGTCCTAGCCCTCCTAGATGCTAGTAGACACCTCCTCCCTTCAAGTGTGTGTTTCTCAGAGTCAAATCTACCCACTGGGGCTGGCACCGCGCCTGCTTCCCAAGCACAGGGTCCTGAGTTCGATCTCCAGTACAAAAAAAAAAAAGAGAGAGAGTACTTGGCTTGCATTCATGAGGCCCTGGGTTTGATGCCCAGCAACTCCAAGAAATAAAAACTGGGCGTGTTGATGCACACCTGTAATCCCAGCCCACTGGAGACTGAGGCAGAAGGCTCACCAGGAGTTCGAGACCAGCTTGGGCCACATAGTGAGTTCAAGACCAGCCCTAACTGCATAGCGGGACCCTGCCTCAAAAAAGAAAGAAAGAAAGAGCCAACTCAGTGAACTCAGGTGAGAACTTCTTGAGTACAGAGTAATAAAAGGAGCCTGAGAGTGCAGCTCTGTAGTAAGGCACTTGCCTAGCATATGCAAAGCCCTAGGCTCGATACCCAGCACCACAAAAATTAAAATTAAAATAATAAAAATAGAAAATGAGCTGGGCATGGTGGTACACACCTATAATGCCACCACTTGGGGAGGCGGAGGTAGGAGGGATCACAAGTTTGAGCCCAGCCTGAGGCAATTCAGTGGGGCTCTGTTTCAAAATGAAACGAAATAAAAAAGGGCCAAGGAACTAGGTCAGCACAAAGCCCCTGAATTCAATCCCCAGTACCACAGCAAAACAAAGCAAATTTCCTGTGTTGGTCAGAATTGACATAAATAATTGAAATTACCAACATTCATGTTTAACTGGTTTTTCCACTAATTGTTTCAGATCTGGTTTCCATCACACAGGGCTGTGAGAGAGAGTTGGTGTGTTCCCTGTGAAACTCCCCAAGCACTTAATAAATCTTGATTAATGACCAGCTAGCTCCTCTGAGAAATAATAAACGTTTTTAATTTAACAAAAGTCGAGGGAATCTTGTTTTCACTGTTGCATAAAAGTAACCTGGCTCGGTTTCTATTTATATGAAGCCATTAAATATTAAGCTTCTGGGTTAAATGCAGACTATTTTTAAACCAAAGTAAAATAAGGATTTCTACAGTGGGCATAGTTGTCTGTTCCTGTTATCCCAGCACTCTGGGAGGCTGAGACAGGAGGACTAGGAGTTTGAACCCAGCCTTGGCAACTTAGGTAGACCCTGTTTCAAAACAAAAAATAAAGGGCTTCTAGAGTTCTTCAATGGTAATTGACATAACAAATATTTTCCTTAAGAGGAAGATGGAAGGAGTGGAGTACGGCTTGCAAAACAACTGCATTTCATGGCTCTTCCAATTAAATTGGAGACTAAACGATTAAAAGCGTACCATATTGTGCATGGGTCCTTAGTCACACACCCAAGGCTACCCATCAGCTTTGACATAAGTACTGTTCTTCTGGCCAAAAGACTGTGATTAAAAACACATGGAAATTGCTTTTTAACAGCTGATAACTGTGTAAGACAAAGCCAAAATGAGAATTAGGCTTTGATGGGCCCTTTTTGAAAAATATGCAACATAATGGAAAATAATGTGGACAGGCTACTTCTGAACTTAATGTGAAGTATTTAGATACCTTTCGGACACTTCTTACCAGTTTCTTTGAGACAAGGTCTTTTATAAGGATGTGTACTGCTTGTCATTCTTTACAACCTGGACACTGTCATCTCTAATCCTTAGATCTTGCTGTACTGTCACCTAAATTGGTACAGATATTGATGGAGGTCTCTGGTGGATAATCATAATACTCTGGGTCACATTTTTCCTGCAGCTTGAAAGTGCTTTAAAAAAAAAAAAAAAGATATCATATGCCTGCTGCTACCACCCTTTCAAATTGCTAGCTTTTGAAAAGCACCAGTGTCTGTTTTAGATTGATCTCCCCATTTTTAAGGAAACAACAGTCAGCAGTAGCTTCAGTTCTGGCGGCATTCACAAAACAAATAAAACGTGTATAAAAGTTGTATCTTGAAACACATGTTCAACAGCTAGCAGCTTATGTGAGTCACCCTGTGCATGGCTAGTGTCACAAAGGTCAGGGTCGTCTCCCACAGCTCTGTCTGTAGTATCATAATTTACCCCTAACTGAATTCGCCTTTTCTCATGAGGCATTTATGTTCCAAGTGGTGATTTCTTCCCATAGATGCACAGGGAGCGTCTCAAGTTTGGAGATGGGCGGTTTAGTAGTGACTTAGCCATGTGTACTAAGTGGGAATTTGTGCCAGCCGTTTGAGCACTAGTTCTGTGTGTCTAGGAACTGAACGCTGCTTCTTGCCCCATTCCACTTTGACTTTATGGAGAATTAATCCCATCTGTTCACCAAAGGCTACTAAGTTAATGGTATTTTCTGTGCAGAAATTAAAATTTTACTTTTAGTCTTTGGCTAAGGGAATTGTCCAGTAGGTGCTCAGCTACTTTAAAAAAAAAAATCAAAAGTATTCATCTTTAGACAACTGGAGTTTTTGCTGGTTTTGTAACCTACTAAAACGGATAGGCTGTTGAACATTCCACATTCAGAAGTTTTGTAGGGTGGTGGGTAATAGTGAATCCTCAATGTTTATTTTAAAATAAATAAAGTAAGTTTTTTTGTTTGTTTGGTTTTTTGAGACAGGGTCTCACTATGTAGTTGACTCTGACCTGCAGCTCACTATGTAGCCCAGGCTGGCCTTGAACTCACAGCAATCCTCCTGTCTCAGCCTCCTGAGTGCTGGGATTACACCACCACACCCGGCTAAGTTTTTTTATTTTTAAAAATTTAATTTTATTGGTACATTTAAGGTACACAATATAATGACATTTATCATTGGAAATTTGCACCTTTATATAATCCATCTTGGCTCTTATTTTTTCCCCATTCCCCTGCCCTCCCTTCAACCCCTCCACCCCCCCTACCTACAAAGACTTTGTTTCCAATTTTTCTTTTTCTCATGTTAATTCCATTCCCCTTTCTTTTCCCCTACCCCTCCCACCTTCCCTTCCCCTTTGCACCTTTTCTTCCTATTTCACATATCTATTATACCTTTTAGTAATAAGTTCTTGACTTAAAAGGGGCGGGGTCGTGCTGGGTTGCAGCTCAGTATAAAGGCCTTGGACTCTGTCCTCAGGGTAGGGGTGCAAGGTGGAGGGGCAGGAGAAAGATTTCTAAAATAGCTGCACAGAGCAAAAGGTATTTTGTAGTGTGTACTATCCAATTTTATATAAAAAGTACTACATAAACTTTTTTTAAAACAGTACTGGGGATTAGATTTAGGATCTTTACACTGAGCTATATCCTCAGTCCTTTACTTTTTATTTTGAGACAGGGACTTGCTAAATTGCCTGGGCTGGGCTTGGAGTCTTCCTGCCTCAGCCTCCCAGACTGCTGGGATTACTGGTGTGTACCACTATGCCTGACACATATATATTAGTAACATATTGTATGGACATCATATATTGTATTCATGTTTTCTACAAGTACAGTTAAGTTTCTTTTCTATTGTTTTTGAGATAAGGTTCCAGTATGTAGTTCAGGCTGGCCTGGAACTCACTATGTAATCCAAATGGGCCTCAAACTCATGGTGATCCTCCTGCCTCAGCCTCCTGAGTGCTGAGATTGCAGGTGTACATGACCATGCCTAGCTTTAGTCTTGGTGAAATTACCTTGGCATGGATATCCCTCCACCTTGATGTAAAATAATTATCAAGTTCAGTGAAGAATATTTATGTATTGTAATTAGAAAAGGATGGCCCTAGAACTGGAGTTGGTGGTAAAAAGATTGTGTGAGGCTTTGGGTTCAGTCCCCAGCATGGCAAAAACAAGTAAACAAAAACATGGCCCAAAGCAACACCCTAAGTGATTTCAAGTGAAGAATCCTTTTATATGCTTGTTAGACAAAGTAAAAAAAAACACCACCAATGAGAGTCCTGCTGACTGGTAATGCTTATCACAGGTTGATATTTGGCCATCTTTTGGGGTGGAGTACATACCCTGCAGGGGTGTGTGATCCTGGGTCATCCAGGATCAAACTGCATGAAGCACAGCATGATGGCTTGGGCTGCTGCCGCTGCCTTGTGTACATCATGACAAAGCAGGAGGAAATGGTAGCAGTCATGAGATAATATAATACTGTCCAGAATAGTTTGTTTTTTGAGACAGGGTCTCCCTTTGTTGTCCAGTCTGGCCTTGAACTTGCAGCGGTCCTCCTGCTTCAGCCTCCCAAGTGCTGGGATTACAGGCGTGCACCCCCACACCTGTGTTGGAAAATAATTTTTTTCACCAAGATGCCTAGGCCAAAAATAGAATCAAGGACCCCTTCCCTTCCTACACTGTATGGTATGCTATCAACTTGCTCCCCCTACTGTCTGTTTTCCATATAACAGGTCCTTCTAAAGGCACAAAAGCATAAAGCTGCTTAAAATTCTCCATTTCCAGACATGTGACTCTCCTGAGCTCTGAGCCCAGCCCCCGGCACACGGGACAGTCTGGGCTTATTTATCCTGAGCTCACTGATTTATACACTGACCTCAAACTCACCGACCTTATATCTGTCCCGGAGCTCTTGTATGTGCTGGCCCCTGGGCTTGAACATTCCTCTAGATCTTTGTAGAGCTGAGGCTCAAATCGAATACTGTCTGCTCAGCCATTCCTGGACCCCCGCACTAAGCAACACCAGTCCTCTCCCTCCTTGCCCTATGGGGACTGTTCTGCGGCATTTGTTTGTGTGCTCTTTGGCTCCATAACAGGAGGCCTTTGTCTACCCTTCTCATCCCTTGCCACGCCACCCTGTGCCTGGCACCAAATGAGAACCCATCATTTTGCTGGATGAACGAGTATCATCTTGTTCTTATCCAGACTGGGGAATGTTGACTTGAGGTACAGCATTTTCAAGAGATCACTTTCTCCTCTCTCTATCCCGCTCCCACCAGTAGATGAAATGAAGGTTTCGGAGTATATGGTCATGTGCTCTGGGGCGTGGGAAATATGTTTTCAGATTCTCAGAAGAATCCAAACAACAAAAAATGTCAGTTACTACTGGTACAAAGTTCTAACTGATGCTAAAGCACTTTTTCCACAATTTAGTTCTTATTACACATAGATAGTGTAAAACTTATAATTCCTACTTCATATATCAAGATGTGGTGGTGTAGACGGGTTAAACACATTATTAGAGATCATACAGATGATCGGTAAGGGTCTCCCTATGTAGCCCAGGCTGGCCTCAAACTCATGGTAATCAATCCTCAGCCTCCCAAGCACTGGGATTACAGATGTGCACTACCATGCTGACCCTAAATGCATTCTTTTGAACTCAGAATTCTGAGCTTTTTCTGCTGAAGACATGGAAGAATCCGGAACTCTGGGAAGGTCTGCTTTGGTCTTTGCCTATCTTGATTTGTTCAACAATCAACAAACAAACACTTTTCTTATTTAAGGTAGGTTATAAGCATCTGCTAGATTTTGGGTGTGTGGGGGGGTGCTGAGCAAGTGAGAGACCTCTGAGCTATACAACCAGCCCCAAGTTGAATTTTTCAGTAAAAACCTACCACCAATATCTAGGTCAAGACAGTCTACCCATACTTGTCAGCCTGGGTTTTTTTAAGACTGTTTTTAAATTAAATGTTAATATACCAATGAAGGAAAGCAAAATCACTTCCTGCTTGGCTAAGTAGAGCATACAAGCAATTACAGAAATAGATTTGTAGGAATGAATATACCTTAAAGCCAAATGAAGATGCTGGGAATCTGTTTAGAGTTTTCTTGCCTTTCCAGTTAGAACATGTAGTTAAAATATCTATGTGGAAAAATCAGTATCTCATTTTTTTTCAAAAATCAGCTTTTCTGGGAAAGGCAAATCTCACTCCCAACTCTCCTGCTCGCTCACTTTCAAGAAAGAAGCCGTGAACGCCCCTGCATTATCTGGCATTACGTTAGTATGAGCTGTGTGAGTGGCGCCATCTCTTTCCAAAGGCCAGGCCCACAGGACACCTGCAAACAGCTTCAAAAGTGCTGTTTGTTAACCTTGAGAAGTTATAGGGAACAGGGCAGTTGAAACAATCTCTCACTATGGGAAGATCCTCGGGATCACAAAGATCTCTTCTCTCCTCATTCCTTGCATCTCTAATTAAAGGCCTTCTTTATTTCAGCAGAACCAGCATTCCCTTTTTTCAGTGAACTGTTTTTCTTAAAACCCAGAAGGTTGGCATCATGCTCTCAGGATTCTCTAATTACCTGGCTTGGGTGTCATGTCATTCTTAGAGGTTGACGCATTTAAAATGTTAGACTGTGTTGTCTTTTTTGTGGTACTGGGATCAACTCTATAGCCTCAGACATACTAGGCCACTGCCCTGAGCAAGGCCTCCAGCCCTCCTCTCCAGCCTTTTTCTGAGATGGGGCTTTGCTAAATTGCCCGGGCTAGCCTTGAACTTGTGATCTTTCTGCTGGGATTACAGGCATGCACACCCCTGCCTGGAAAAATTTTTTTTTGAAAGATCTATAAGTAAACCACAGATACAGAAAACAAAATATCCAGATCTTAGTGGAAAAAGACCTGCTTCTTGGCTTATGATTGCCAGGGTTTGAACACTTCTGGGTTATTCCTTAACTATAATTGATGCTACCAGTTTGGAATCCCACCTGCTGCCAGGGTCAAAGATTGCTGTCATGGGGAAAGGACAATCTGTTAATTCCCTTCCTCCCTTCATTTACAATAAACCCTGAATAAACATCTGACAAGAGAGGCTATGATGTTGGAATGAAAATGTCTTTGGCCAGCAGCTCTCAACCTACTTAGCTGAAGGTCGAGAGAACCTTAAGCTCTTTCCCAACCTACTGGCCTCCCCTACACTATAAAAATGTCATCTGTCATGCACTGTGACTGGAATGTACTTGGTGTACTTCTACGAGGATTTGAATTTTAATTGTTCACCAGGCTAGCAGTTCCTACCGGATTCTGAGGAGTAAAAACTCTAAATACATGGGCACTTTGTTCTTCCATAAGTCAAAAGTCTCATGTCTACATAGTCATTGTTATGTCTTAGAATGCATTCTGCTCAAATCAGATCTAAATGTCACCATATGGTAGTGTACAGAAGCAATGGCCCAGAAGGGAACTAGTGTGCAATACCTTTCAAATTTGAGTGGGTTTCACCTCCCACCTCAGTGGCTTAGCGGGTTAAGAGTATTACAACACAAAGGCTGAGGTCAAGGTTTTCATCGTCTCAATAGCCTGTTTACTTCTATTCCACAAGGGCCACAAATTCACCTCTTAGAAACTTATGTGGCGTTTATGTGTGTGTGTGTGTGTGTGTGTATTTTTTTTTTTTTTTTTAATAGTGGAGATTGAACTTAGGATTTTGCACATGCAAGGCAGGCATGGCACCGCCACTGAGCTAAATCCCGCCCTGAAATTTATGTTTCCAAATAAAGGTGGACCAGGTCAGGAAAACAAGCAAAGCCATCACCCATGACAAGAAAGCTCACAAGCCCAGAAAGGAGGCATTTCAGTAGGCCTTTTCATTCTTTCTGCTTAGCAGGTGCAGAGCACTTTTTAAAGCAAGACAACATCGCCACCTTGTGTTAAATGATCTTCATTACAACCATAATGTTACTGCTAAAAGGATCAGAGCAGATTCTCAATAATTACAGAATATAGCTTTATTTATAGAATCTTACAAATAAAACATTTACAGTCCACATAAGTTATTTTCTTTTCTAATTCTTATAACACCTGAGTTATTTAAAATAATACTGTGATGGAACTGCAGAACTGTAAAGGGAAATATGAATAAAAACAAACCTCTCTTTTGCAAAAATCAGATTTTTTTTTCTTATAAAGCCGATTTCCAGCATACTAGCATCTCTTTGGAAAAGGACTTACTAAAAATAGATCATAGGCTACCCAGACAGATATTTTTTGGTAGTACTGGGGATCAAACCCAGGGGTGCTCTATCACTGAGTTGTATCCCCAGCCCCTTTCGTGTTTTAAGACAAGAGTCTTGCTAAGTCACCCAGTCTGGGCTTGAACTTGCAATCCTCCTGCCTCAGCCTGCCAGACTGCCAGGATTACAGGTGTGCACCATCGCCCCTAGCTTAGAAGTCTCTTCGAAGCCCAAGGTGAAGGACCATTGCAGAATGGCCCTCAGTCGAAACTAGACACGGAACACCCTTGGAGACAAGGACAGAGAGCAAGGTGAGAAGCACAGGACCCTGTCCCCGGCTTTCAGCTCCTGTGTGTGACACTTACGTCCTTGCTGAAGCTAGTAGGAGCTGGTCTGTCTGGAGAGAGAGGCTGAAGGTGCTCATCAGGGGAGAAAAGCCCTCCGAACTAACTACCCTGTAGATTTCTAATATGTGCAAATGCTTAAACAACAAATTCAACCTGAAACGTTGAAAAGAAGTCACCACACTGTTGACTGAGGCTAGTCTTGCTGATGGCGATGGACCCCTCCCTCCTAAGCTCCAATGGGGGCTGACCCTGCACCCCTGCCTTTGAAGAGGACTAATTCACATCTGATTTTCATTGTATTCAAGATGAGGTTTCTAAGCTCCTCTCTTAATCTTAGAAGCTCATGAACTCTAAGTCAGTATTTTACCCCAGAAAAAGGATTTTTTTTGTTTTTTTGTTTTTTGGTAGTACTGAGGATTGAACCCAGAGCCTTCGCACTAAGCTATACCCCAAGCCCTTTTATTTACTTATTTTTATTTTGAGACAGGATCTTGTTAAGTTGCCCAGGCTGGGCTCACAAGTGTGATCTTCCTGTCTCAGCCTCCCAGAGTGCTGGGTTCATAGTTGTGCACCATCACGCCCAGTGAAAAGAATATTTTTCAAGGAATGATAGTATCTATATAGGGAATGCTAAGATTAAAAATTTAATACATTAATGAGTTAAATAAGACAAAATCTTCCAGCGTCTTAATCTTTCTCTCTCTCTTGTGTGTATGTGTGTGTGTGCGTGTGTGTGTGTGTGTGTGTGTGTGTGTGTGTGTGTGTGTGTGTGTATTTTTGCAGGGCTGAAGACGGAAGCCAGGGCCCTACACAGGCTAGGCAAGTGCTCCATCACTGAGTACACCCACCTGAGTCTTACATTGTGTCATTTTCTCCTAGCTCCTGAAAGCAATCTGAGAATTATAAAACAGAAAAGACAAAGAAGCATTTTAAAACAGTACTAACAGATGTTGCTAAAATAAAGTTAGATTCCAATGTCCAAGGAGTTGGTTCTTTGGTAAAACTGGACCCTAACCCTACCAGGAGTTGGTCCTGACATTCGATCTAGAATCCCAACGGCTGAAGTTCCTCCTCCTTCAGCCTGCTCTTAAATCCACTCAAGTCTAAGCAAGATCAGAGGGAAACCGAGCAGTCCCCCTACTCATGATCTTTTCAGGAGGATTCCTGGTTTGAGGTCTGTTTCCCAAGAAGAAAAAACAAAATAGATGCTGCTCAGAATCACTGAGAACAGAAAAGCTCAGGCACTGGCGATAAACCTGTGCTCTTGTCTGTCCTGCAGACAAACACGGCCCCCGGGCTGACTGTGGGCACCACTAAGAAGGCTTCTGGGGAGACTGGCTCCCCAGAGTGGCTAGTCTCGCATTATCAATATGATAATAATAAATCAATTCACCTAGTGAACCTGGAGATCAGCTCCCCTGGAAGCCAGAGTTCTGAGGCAGGGGCTCCACAGCACCCGCAGCTGGCCTGTGGTGTTAGGGACAAGAACACCATCCGCTTTCTGGAGAGGATTAGAACAATTCATAACGGGCGAGCCAGGACGTGTCATCAGAAAGCAATGCTAAACCCCACTTGCAGCAGTGACATCTGCAGCACCCCAAGGCCAAGTGGTGAGTTTCTGACCTCAGTCTAGAGCCCTCTGGTATTCACACTTGTGTTTATGTAATTAGCAGGTCCTCAACTTGGCCTGCACCCACGCCTGATTTCCCTTGTCACCATGGTAAAACATAAACAACCACACTCTTACTCTACAAGTAAGCTCACCAGTCTGCAGCAGAAGTCTTGACTGGGGCAGTGAATCTGTGCAGTCTCCCCTCTAATACAACCAATTTTTTGTTATTGTTTTTGTTTTTTGAGACAGGGTCTCACTATGTAGTTCAGGCTGCCCTTGAACACACTATGTAGCCCGGACTGACCTCAACCTCACAGCAACCTGCCTGCCTCAGCCTTAGCACTACTGGGCACCCTGAGGCACTGAACGTGTTTAGATGCTGACTGAACTCTAAAACACTTGGAAAGATCTTTTTATTACCACCCATGCCTGCCATATAAACATTTGAAATGTGCTTCTAGAGAGGCAGCTAAAAAGTGTCTTAGAAGAAGGGAGCTGGGAAGGGGAGGTAGGAACCATAGCAAAACCAGTTCTTTTCTTGCAGGGCTCCTACCCCTCCCACTGTCAGTGTTAACATGAAAGAGGCAGCGGCTGGGCAGCTGACCCCTACGCTGGCTTGGCCAGAGAGCCAGGGGACAGCAGGGTTGGACAAGAGCAGCATCCAGCATCCTGGTGGGACCAAGTGAGCACCCTGACAGGTCCCACGTCACTGGTTCTACTTCCTGCCACTCAGGATGGCCCCTGCCTCTCTGCCCTATTCACGTGCTTGAGTTTTAGTTCTCTGAGAACATTGACAGAAAATGAACAGATTCTCACAGATAGGTGGGAGGGTTGCCTGTGGTCTGTCCTTTCTTTGGAAGAGCAGGAGAACCAAATCAAAAGGGGCACCTTCAGGTCCAGGATGCAATTTTGATTCGGGGCCTGCAAGGATGGATTCACCTGGGGATGTTTCTACCCAGGCTCTGACGTGGCTCTAATTTTACACTGCAGGGTTGAAGATGCCAAATCTCACAGTGTTGCTTCCAAGAGAGATCAGAGTAACCAGAGAGCAAAGGGAGAGGCTTGTCCTGTCTGTGACATTCGGGTTCCAGCGTGACCGTGAGGGAGGGAGCAAGGACAGGGGCGAGGCACTACCTAGAGAGTGGCTACTGGGCAGCCTGCTTTCTAGGACACAGCGTCTTGAAAGAGCCGACGTCTGAATGCAGGCGGATGGTCCACGGCAGTTTTTACAGAGCTGCCTCTTACGTGTGCTGCACAGATGCTGAGTTCTCAGACAGCGACAGCAGCCCAGGGCCTGCCCTGTGATGTCAGTGGCCCACAGGGCCCTACCCAATCTGGATCTGCCCTGAGTACATGGTAAGGAGCAGCATGATGGTGAAGCCGGTCAGGAGGCCCAGGTTCTGGATGACGAAGGACACCAGCATGGTGCCTTTCCTTTCGTCCTCCTGGCAGACCTCGTTCATCTCTGGGAACTGGGGAGGGAGAGAAAAGCAAGAGCTGAGGCTCCTCCTGAAACTTGTCAATGGGAAGTTCATCGAGCACGCAATACTGCTAATCGGTCAACGGAGAGAAGGAGCCATCACATAGGGCTGGCCTTGCAAGTGCAAGGTCCTGAGTTCAATATCCAGTACTGGTACCAAAAAAAAAAAAAAAAAAAGAGCCTTCACAGAGGCTGGAACTTGAGTGTGACACTGTTCTCCCGGACAGCTACCTCAACTTGACAACTATACTGGGTAAACAAAGAACTGGGCACCCTGAGGCACTGGACCTGTTTAGATGCTGACTAAACTCTAAAACACTTGGAAAGATCTTTTTATTACCAAGACATTGTTGCTGCCTGCTCGGGAAACTAAGCAACTGTGACCAGGGACAGAGTGGAGACACAAAGCTGCTGTGATTCAAAGCCTTGTGCTGCTAGGCTGGCGAGACAAATGACGACTCTGAGGATCATCGAGCAACACTGAAGACGGTTCTAACCACGGGGCAGGCTCCCTGTCAGAGGAGGCATCTAAAACGTTTCCTTGTGTGTGGAGGCTCAGTGCTGCAAACAACTCATCAAAAATATTATTTCCAAGGCCAGGTGTGGTGGCGCACGTCTGTCACCCTAGCACTTGGGAGCTTGAGGCAGAGGAGGATCGCTGCAAGCTAACCCCAGCCTAGGCAGGACCCTGTTTCAAGAAAACAGACCTAAGGCCAGGGATTTAGCTCAGGGGTGCTGCTGCCTGTCTCGTGACTGCAAGGTCCCGAGTTCAATCCCCAAACCAAACAACAACCAACCAGAAAAAAAAAAAAAAAAAAAAAAATCAAGCACCACCCCCTAAAACACAAACCAACCCTTCAAAAAAATTATTTCTAAGAATATACAGAACTGAAAAATAAATATTATATACAGCAAAGTATTTTCTGTATATAGTATGTGAGGGATATATATTTTACTTATTTATTTATTTTGAGACAAGGTCTTGCCATGTACTTCAGGCTGGCCTTGAACTCACTATGTAGCCTGCCTGCCCTCAAATTCATGCAATCCTCCTGCCCCAGCCTCCTGAGTGCTGGGATTACAGGAATGGGCACCACACCCAGGTATACAGGAGGATATACTGTATAAAGAAAAATAATTCAAACAGGCCAAAGACCACATCAAGGTAACAAACAAGGAAAAGAGTCAACCTTCTTAGATATGCAAAAGGTACAACTACACAGGCTGAAAATTTAAAACTCTTACATGGTTCATATCCATGGTAGGGGCACAGGGCAGGATACAGTTTCAGATTCTGCTATTAATAGAAGAAGGTTAAGCCCTTTTGAAAAGCTATTGAAAGCATAAAGCCAGAGCCAGATGTATGGTGCACACCTGTACTCCTAGGACTAAAGAGGCTGAGGCAGGAGGATCATGAGTTTATGGCTGGCTGGGTTACAGAACAAGACCCGATTCCCCAAAAAAAGGAAAGGGGGGAAAATAAGGAAAAACCTAAAACCAGCAATGCTACTTCTGAAACTAAGATATATCTGTAAGGTATATCTGTAGTAAAAAAAAAAGTATGCAACACAGAAAAATGTATGATATATTAGTAAAAAAGAAATCAGAAAATTGCATATTCAGTGTGATTATAGTTATTTAAAAACAGACACAATTCTTTGAGACAAAAAAAGAAACAAAGTGCTGTTATTGTTATCTTGGGGTAGAAAAATGATGGTTAATTTTCCTTCCTTCTTGTCCTCTCGTATTCTCTTTCCCTCTTTTTATTCATCTCTGTATGCCTATTCTACAATGTTTAAGCATGGACCCTACATTGGATAGCATTGTTTTCTTTAATGACATATGCAACAAAAACAAACATTTGTCTTTTAAAATCTGACATCCCAGCCAGGCATGCTGGTGTATACCTGCAATCCTAGCTACTAATATGCTGAGGCAACAGCTACACAGGGAGCTCACCACCTCCAGTCCTTCAGGCCTTCAGTGGAGCAGACCAGTGAGGACCGCCCGGCCTCCGCAGCATCCCTATCCCCTCCCCCCACCTGCTCTCCAGCCTCCTGGTTGGGCTGGTACCTGGATCCACACTGCAGAGATACAGGTGGTCATAAAGGCCATTGTACTGAGCTCCAGAAGACAGAATGGAAGTGGATAACTGCAGTAAAGGCACAGCAGACCTCCACAGTTGGTAAGTCAGAGGGATCACCACCTTCCATCAGAATCTGCACTCTCTTCAGGGGAAGGGCAGTGGGAACCTGCAGTAGGACCTTGCAGAGTTCAACCCTGCAGGAGATCAGGGAGCTCAGCTTGGGGCTTGTAGCCAGAATTCACCCAGAATCTCAGGGGTCTGCCATCGGCTGGCTGAGACTAACTGACTTAATCCTGCACATTGCTGCCCACATTATCTATTGTGACAGCAGAGATATACCCGGAAAGAGGCTCTTCAAATTTTTTTCTTTTTCTTTCTCTTATTTTAAATTTTTATTTTCCCATTCTGCAAATTCTTCCTTTTTTCCCCTCACTCAGTCTCTTGCTCCCCCATGATATTCATCTCCCTTTTTGTTCCTATTCCTACCCTACTTCGGATTTCTTCTTTTCTTTTCTTTTTCCTTTGCTCAATCATCATTGGTTTCAAAGGAAAGTGAGTACAATTTCTAGCTTCCCTATTACTGTTAAGTTGTTCAGTTCTTGTCTTTGTTCTTCTACTCTGTCTTTCCCTTGTGTCTTCAACAGTTTCCTAAAGTTTGCATGATCATCCTGTAAACCCTGGCTTCACCTGAAACCTCCTATTCTTCTACCTATCTCTTCCTCTCCTCCTAACTGCTTCTAAGTCCCCATCCTGAAAGATAAAGTTGCTGTATTGAAGAGTTTATTCACTATAAACATATTTTGGGCTGGTCCTCAATTTTTATTTAATTGACATGGTTAAAGGTGATAAATTAAAAACGACCACAAATGGTCAATTTTTAAACTGTGCTTGCTGATTATATCAACTGAGCTAAAGGGTTATGACTGATTTAATGAATTGTCCTTTCTGATATTATGAAAATGAGAGTGTCTGTGAGTCATGAAAGACTCAAAACCTAAACAGCACCTATATCAGGAAGATCAAGGTACTAACCCAGGAATTAAACCAAGGACAGTACCAACAACAAAAATAAAAATGAGAAAACACGTAAGTATGACACAAATACAGACTTCCAGTTCACCAATGGCAAATTCTAGGGGAACAAGTGGAAAAGTCTGACAATCAACCACCAGGACACCCTGAACTCTTAACACAGGAAGTAACAAAACAGATCAATCAGGCTCTAGAAAAATTCAAAACAGAAATAATTTCTCAGATAACTACAGAGATAGTGAGCACAATGAAAGACATGATTAGAGACTCTAGAACAGAAACAGACAAAAAATAGATGAGTTCAGGACCATGAAAGAAGCCACAAATGCCCAGCACAGGAAAGAAATGGAAACCGTGAATGCCCAACATAGGAGAGAAATGAAATCCATGAAAACAGATTCAAACAGATATCCAGGAGCTTAAAAACTCTAATGAAAGCATTCAAACCAGAATTAATGAATGTGAAGATAGAATTTCAGATATAGAAGATAGGATTGCAGTCAGTGACCATGAAAAGAGAGATCTCTTAAAAACAGTAAGGGATCATGAGAAATGGATCCAACAACTCCTAGATGATAAAAAGAACAACATAAGACTGACAGGAATCCATGAAATAGCAGGAGAAAGTACAAATGACTTAATTTGACATACAGATAAGTGAGGCATAAAGGACTCCATTTAGCCATGATCAAAAAAAAATCTACAACTAGACATATAATAGTCAAGATCCCTGAAACCCAACAGAAGAACAAAATACTGAAAGAAGTTAGAGAAAAGAAACAAATCACATGCAAAAGAAAGCCCATCAGAGTCACAGCAAACTTTTCAACACAAACCCTCAGGTCAAGGAGAGCCTGGAGTGAGATATTTCAAGCCCTAAGAGAAAACAACCTCCAACCTAGACTGATGTATCCTGAAAAACTCTCTTTTAAAATGGATGGGGAAATAAGATACTTGCATGACAAAGAACACCTGAGAAACTTCATGAATACCAAACCAGCAGGACAAACAATTCTAAACCATATCTTAAAAAAAGATAATGAAGGTCACAACACCATGAGGCCCAACAGAGCAAATCAATTAGGTAAGGAAAGAAACTAAAGGGAGAGGGGGAAAAATGAGAAAGAACCAATAAAAGGACAATAACATGACAATGATAAGTCAATACATATCAGTTATAGCCATCAATGTCAATAGCCTCAACTCACCAATCAAAAGAAATAGAATGGATTAAGAAGCAAAATCCAACATATGTATGCTGTATGTAAGAAACATACCTAGTTCAAAAAGAAACTCATAGACTGAAAGTGAAAGGATGGAAAACAGTTCTCCATGGGACAGGAGCCCAGAAAAAAGCAGGAGTAGCTATCTTATTTGCAGACAAAGTAAATTTCAAACCAAAACTGATTAAGAGTGACAAAGAAAGCCACTATATCCTTGTAAAGGGAACAATCCAAGAGGAAGATGATAATCATAAATATATATGCACCAAATATTAATGCCCCCAACTATATAAAACAAATATTAAGGGACATAAAAAAACCAAATAAGCACTAATACAGTTATAATGGAGGACCTAAATACCCCACTATCACAAATAGACAGATCATCTAAACAAAAAAATCAACAACAAAATACTAGAACTGAACCAAGCTTTTGAACAAATGGACTTAATAGATGTCTACAGAGTGTTCCACCCCACAAAATCAGAATATACATTCTTTTTGACTGCACATGGGTCATTTTTCCAAAAGAGACCACATACTAGCTCACAGAATAGGTTTAAATAAATGCAAAGGAATCAAAGTTATACCATGTATATTATCAGACCACAGTGCAATTAAGCTGGAGATCAATACCAAAGAATCCACAAGAACTTCACAAACACATGGAAATTGAACAACACTCTCCTGAACAATCAATGAGTCACAGAGGAAATTAAAGAAGAAATCAGTCAGTTTTTACAAATAAATGATAATGACAATACAACATACAGGAATCTATGGGACATAATGAAAGCAGTTCTACATGGAAAATTCATAGCAGTGAATAGCCAAACTAGGAAAACAGAGTGAGCTTGCCGGGTGTGCTGGCACATGCCGGTAATCCCAGCACTTGGGAGGCTGAGGCAGGAGGATCGCTGTTTGAGACCAGCCTGGGTTACATAGTGAGTTCCAGGTCATTCTCAACTACATTGTGAGACCCTGTCTCAAAAAACCAACCAACCAACCAACCAACCAACCAACCAACAAACACAACAGAGGGAGCTCAAAAAAACAACCTAATGACGAATCTTAGGCTCCTAGAAAAAGAAGAGCAAGAAAAACCCAAAGCTAGTACAAGGGAGGAAATTCTAAAGATCAGAGCAGAAATCAATGCAATGCAAACTAACAGAACAATACAAAAAAAAAAAAAAATCAATGAATCCAAGAGCTGGTTTTTCAAAAGAATAAATAAAACTGATAAACCCTTAGCCAACCTTGTTTAAAAAAGTAAACGGGGCTTGGGATTTAGCTCAATGGTTCTGCTGCCTGCTTCACAAGTGCAAGGATCTGAGTTTGATTCTCAGTACCAAACAATAACAACAACAACCCAAAAAACAAAACAAAACAAAACAAAAAAAAAGGAAAGAAAAGGTTCAGATCCATGCAATTAGGAACAAAAAAGGTGAAGCCACAACAGACCCAGCAGAAATCCAGAGGATCATCAATACCTACTTTGAGAACCTGTACTCTAATAAAATGGAAAACACAGAAGAAATGGACAGATTTCTTGATACTTATGAATTACCAAAGTTGAATGAAGAAGATAAAAAATTCTAAACACTCCAATTACAATCAATGAAATTGAAAACATAATTAAAAGTTTACCAACTAAGAAAAGCCCAGGTCCTGATGGCTTCACTGCTGAATTCTACAAGACATTTAGAGATGAACTACTGCCACTACTCTTTAAATTTTTCAATGAAATTGAAAGGGAAGCAGTACTTCCAAATTCATTCCTGGAAGCAAGTGTTACTTTGATTCCAAAACCAGGAAAAGATGCAAACAAAAAAAGAGAACTACAGGCCAATCTCCTTAATGAACATAGATGCAAAAATCGCCAATAAGATACTGCCAAATAGAATACAGAGGATCATCAAGAAGATCATACACCCTGACCAAGTTGGATTTATTGCAGTAATTCACCATACAAAAATCAATAAATGTAATACACTATATTAACAGAGTCAAGGACAAAAACCCTATGATCATCTCATTAGCTGCAGAAAAAGCATTCAACAAAATTCAACACCCATTCATGACAAAAACCCTGCAGAAAATTGGAACAGATGGTCTTTATCTCAACTTGATAAAGGCTGTCTATGAAAAACCAATAGCCAACATCATATTAAACAGCCCAAAACTGAAAACCTTCATGCTAAAATCAGGAACAAGACAAGGATGTCCACTATCACAACTCCTGTTCAACACAGTTCTGGAAACATTAGCCACAGCAATTAAACATGAGAAAGAAATTAAAGCAATAAAGATAGGAAAGGAAAACAACAACAACAACAACAAAAAGATAGGAAAGGAAAAGTTAAACTGTTATAATTTGCTGATGATATGATACTCTACATAGAAGACACAAAAAACTCTGCCAAAAGACTAGACTTAATTGACACTTTCAGCACAGTAGCTGGATACAAGGGCAACACTCAAAAATCTACAGCCTTCTTGTACACAAATAACAGACTCCCTGAGAGAGAAATTAGGGAAACAACTCCTTTCACAGTAGCATCCAAAAAAATGAAGTATCTAGGAATCAATCTGACGAAGGAAGTAAAAGACCTCTACACTGAAAACTACAGCACTCTGAAAAAAGAGATGGAAGACGATATAAGAAAATGGAAAGATATACCCTGCTCCTGGGTAGGAAGAATCAACATAGTGAAAATGGCCATACTACCAAAACTGCTATACTGATTCAATGCAATCAGACGGAAATTCCAACAGTAAATTTCACAGAACTAGAGAAAATAATCCAAAAATTCATTTGGAACCAGAAGAGACCTAGAATAGCAAAAGCAATTCCAGGCGACAGAGACATGATGTATCACAGTCTGCAACTTGAAACTATACTACAAAGGCACTGTGACAAAAACAGCATGGTACTGGAAAAAAAAAAGACTAAAGGATCAGTGAAATAGATTAGAAGATACAGAAACAACTCCAGATGAACTCAGCTACCTCATTTTAGACAAAGGAGCCAAACCATCCTCACTGGAGGAAAGATAGCCTCTTTAATAAATTGTGTTGGAAAAATTGGATTTCAACCTGCCAAAGATTAAAACTAGACCCTTATCTTTTACCATGCACTAAATTAAAGTGAAAGTGGGATTAGAGATCTAAATATTAAAACAGAAACATTAAACTTGCTGGAAGATAAGTTAGGCAGAACTCTCGAAGACATTGGCATGGGAGAAGACTTTGTGAATAAATCCTCAGTAGCATGAGAATTAGCACAAAGGATCCACAACTGGGATCTCATCTTATTAAAAAGCTTCTGAACAGCAAAAGAAACCACTAACAGAGCTAAGAGACAACCTAAAATGTGGGAAAAAATTTTTTTACCAGCTGCTCCTCAGGCAAAGGACTATTATCTAGAATATATAAAGAACACAAAAAAATGAGATTTTTAAAATCAAATTTAAAGACCCAATTCAAAAATGGGCATTTGAAATGAACAGACATTTCTCAGACAAAGAACTAAAAGCAGCAAGTAAATATGTGAAAAAATGTTCAACATCAACTGGTCATTCGAGATGCAGAGGAAAACAACACTGAGATTCCACTCACCCCAAAAAGAATGGCTGCTATCAAGAAATCAACCAATGGAATACTACTCAGCCATAAAGAATGAGAAATTAGGTTCATTCATAGGAAAATGGATACATACTGAGGATATACTCCAAAGTGAAATAAATAAGTCACATATGTGCAAATACCGAATAGTTTCTCTGGCTTGAAAATCTATAATATTACATAAGATCCTAATGAGATAATTGACAATGTGAAATGGAAAGAAAAGGGCTAAAGGTGTAGGGAAAGTGGGAAGGGTAGGGGAAAGGTAATAAGGGAAAAGAAAAAAAACATGAGAAAATGAAAAAATGGAAATAAAGTGTTTGTAAATGGGGAGGGGAGGAGGGGGTGAAGGGAGTGCAGGGACAAGGGGAAAAAATGAGAACCAAGACCTGTCATGTAGAGGTACAAGATCCCAATAATGAATGTAACGGTACTGTATCCCTAAAATGTACCAATAAACTCAATTAAAAAAAAAAGAAGTCAACCAATAACAAATGTTGTTAGGAGAAAAGAACCCTCCTCCATTGTTGGTGGGAGTGCAGTCTGGTAACACCACTGTGGAAATCAATATGGAGATACCTCAAAGAACTAGGATTAGAGGTTCCATGTGACCCAGCCATCCCTCTGCTGGGTATCTTTCCAAAAGAATTAAAAGAATCATACCACAGTGAAATATGCACACCCATGTTTATAGCAGCATAGTGTGTAATAGCTAAAACATGGCAACAGCCCAGTTGCCCATCAGCTGTAGACTGAATAAAGAAGATGTGGTTTTTCTATAAAATGGAGTACTACTCAGCCATAAGGAATGAGAAACTAGAGTCATTCATAGGAAAATGGGTGCATATTGTGGCTATACTCTTAGGTGAAAAAATTAAGACACATGTATGTGTCAATACCGAATAGTTGCTCTGGTGTGAAAAACTAAAAGTGTAAATAAGATCCAAATTGTATAAATGATAATGCGAAATAAGAAGAAAAGTGCTAAAGGTGTAGGTGAAGTGGAAAGGATAGGGGAAAGGAAATAAGGGCAATGAAAAAAATATGAGAAAAGGAAAAAATAGAAACAAAGTCTTTGTAAATAGGGGAGGATGGAGGGGGTGAAAGGAGGGCAGAGGTATGGGGAAAAAATGAGAACCAAGATCTGAAAAGGTCATGAAAAGGTACAAGATCCCAATGATGAATGTAACTGTACTGTAAACTTAAAAAGTACCAAAAAACTCAATGGGGGAAAAAAAGGGATGTTGAGGCAAGAGGAGCATAGTTTCAGGCCAGTCTGGGCAATTTAGCAAGACCCTGTCTCAAAGCAAGAAACAAATGAACCTACAAATAAAACCCCAAAACAAATGCCTCCTTAAGAAGCCTTAAATGGTGCATCTGAAATAGGTAAAACGTGAGGCATGCAAAAGATACTTTAATAAAGATGTTACTCCGCCTGGGATTTAGTTCAGTGGCACCGTGCCTTCCTCACAAGTACAAGGTCCTGAATTTGATCTCCAGTACTGGGGGAAAAAAAATGTTATTAAAACCATATTAACTGTTGTATGCAGTGGCACATGATCGTGATCCCATCACTGAGGGAGGCCGAGTTCAAGCCCAGCCTGGGCAATTCAGGGACTTAGCAAGGCTTTGCCTCAAAATAAAAAAGAGAAAGAGCAAAAACAAACAACCAAATCAAAACAAAACAAAAAACAAATGTCCCCATAGCTATCCTGTCCATGAATTTAGTAATCCACCCAGTTTGGCCTACACAGCATAAATGCTGGCTGACTTACCATATCAGCTAGAGCAATATACAGGAACATTCCTCCAGCCAGAGCAAAAATCCAGTTGGCAGAAAAGTGGCTGCCCGCCAGGATACCAAAGGCCAGGCCCACGTAGCAGCAGCAGGCAGAGAGGAAGTTGAAGAAGAGGGCCTGCTGGATACTCATCCCGGCATTGAGCAGGATGACGAAGTCGCCTAGGGGGCACGGAGGGGAAGGATGTTGAGTCAGAAAACAGAAAATATCAGGGTCCCTTCTTCAGCTTCCTCTTTAGGCACTGTGTCTATCTGCTATGCTGGCTGCTGCCTCCCAGCCCACAGGCTGGAAATGTTATAGGATTTGGAAGGAAGATGACCAACTAACAGTGGCCTCCTAGCTTTTTCTGAATGCAACTAAAAGGAGCTCCCTTGCTTGCAACTGCAATAAAAGACAGTATCAGGAGATGCAACTGTGAGGAACAGAAGTTAGGAAATTTGCCCAGAGTTACAAGCCAAAATATGGCAAATGTAAGATTTGCTCTCGAGTGGCCTCTCAGCTTCCAGAGTCGTGGCCTTTTATACTCTGTGGTGATAAAGCTAAATATCTCCCAAGCCCTGATTCAGCTACTTCATCCTCACCCATCCCAGCTTTGGAAGATTAATAGGCTTTATGCCACCACCTTTACTGAGCACTCAGCATGTGATTAAGTTCTCTTCAGTCCAGGTTCTCCTTTAACCCCATGACAATAGGTGGGCTGTGCAGATGTCTCAGGGCTGCGGGCTTACCCAGCTCGTGTGGGAACTCCTCACAGAGGATGGCCACTGAGGTGCTGATGCCTTGGAAAACAGACACGGTGAAGGAGGCACCGATGGCCAGGCCATCGATGAAATTATGCAGGCCGTCACTCAGGGTGATCATCCAGGCCAGGGTGCCGATGTCAGAGTAGCGCACACCTTTCAGCCAGTAGCAGGTGCTCTGCGAAGCCTGCAGGTCCTGTGAGAAAGCATGCAGAGGGCATGGGGAGGACCATGCACTTTTCAAGGTGGCCCAGGTTCCCCAGGCAGAGGCTGCCCCTGACCTGCACAGACAGTGAGCCCACAATGACCTTCTCGTCCATGCTGGGGGTCCTGCCATCCAGCTCGCTGCTGCAGGCCTGAGGAATCATGTGGTCCAGGTCCCCATTCTGCAGTTTCTCCATCACTCCCTCCTCCTGGTCCTTCTTGGAAGGAAGCGTTTCCGAGGCAAAGTGGTTATGTCCGTGATGGTGCTGGGAGGATGACAGGAAGGGGTCAGCATGACATCCACCAAAACCACCAACCAGCCCAGTGGAACACCTGCCCAGAGTGGGAGCTTCAGGCTCAGGAGACCTCTTTCCTCCACAAAAGAAAAACAAAGCAGGCCACACAGAAACGTGGGCAAGGTGCATGCACAGCAGCACTGAGCATGCAGGGAAGGACTAGGTGTTAGGAACCACAGCTGTCCCCGAGGGCACCCTCGTCGAACAAGGTGGCCCTGCTGAGTACAGAAAGCTTTTCCTGTGCAATGGCCTCTTGCAACCAACTCAGCAGCTGTGCAGGTTACAGCCTTGTGACTGCCCTGAGGGCATCTCTCCGGAGCCACACTTTAGCAGTGGGTCTGGGGTCTCTGCCGCCTTGTCTCATACTCGATGATGCCTGCGAACAAGCCCTGGCCAAGCATCAGAAGATACAAGCGCACACACAGGAGATCACTTAGACCAAAGCAAAAGGGACAGACGCAGCTACCGGGTAAGGGCTCATCCAGCCCCAGCTAATATCCTCACAAGATGAAATGGGACCATGACATCTGTGGTTTCTAAGACGTGACAGGGGAAGCTGCATGCATGGCCTCAGCTCTCTCAATGACACAACACTGAGAGGAAACACATGGACATTTTTTGAGATGAGTGCTTCCCTAGAATTTTCTTTACTAACAATTGGGTCTCACCTCATTTTTCTGCTTAAGAAGCATTTTCAAGATCTTCTCTGTGAAAAAGAAAAGGTAGAAGCCCCCAAACACCACTGCAGACTTGGAGACATAATAATCTTCCAGAGGATTGAAACCAAAAGCCTGTGGACCCAGGAAAATAAAATGAGTTGAAGAAAAACCTTCACTGGTTCCCTCACATCTCTCAACTACTTCCTTGACTCCAGAAAAGTGATGTCCTGGAATAACTCTCCTGCCTGCCCAAACTCTTGCCAGCACAATCTAATCCTGATGCTCCCAGATATGAGGTCACTGCTCTTGCCAGGTTCCTGCTTGTCTTTGGACGCAAAAGACAGACCATATTTAGGACTTTAAACTTAGAAGAACAGCTGTGGATATGGCTCTCTGCTTTTAATGAGGACTCCATCTTAATTTGATTTCTCTCGGCACTAAAGCTACAAAAGCAACCTGAGGGTGAATTCCACACTCAAGGAGAGGACTTTTTATTTTCATCTCATCTAGAAGCCTGGCTTGTCTGCCTGTAAACACAATGGGAAGCAGTATAATTATGCTTTCTAAAAAGGGAGCTTCATCCCTCAGTTAAACAAAGAACCTCAGCATCTCCCTGGCCACAGACGTTACAGGGACCTCAAGGCCGAGAAAGCAGGCTATGTCCCTGTGTGTGTCAATCCTTGGTGGATCTGGAAGGGGGCACGGCGATGCCCATCTGTAACCCCAGCTACTTGGGAGACTGATGCAAGAGAATTGCTTGAGGCCAGCTTGGATAGCATAGCGAGACTCTGTGTCTTTAAAAATAAAACACTGGGGGAGGGTGTTGAAAGCGTCCCTTATTAAGGAAGAGGAGAAAATCCATTGGGAAGAAGACAGGACTGGAAACCAGAAGTCTAGTCTAGGTTTGGCTCCTGAGTTATGGAAACGGGCTTTGAAAAAGACCTCCAGGAATAGGTCACCAGTAGAAGTTGATTATCACCCAGGGGAACTCTGGGCTGGTTACAAGGTGATGGCTTGTCCTTTAAAAGGTTTACAAAGGACCAAATTCAATCATGACCCATTCTAAAAGACCTATACTGTGGCCAGATTCAACACCCTCAGGTCAGCTCAGGTCAACTCTTCGGGAAAGCTGATACTTCTTAGGGAAAAATGATTTGCAAAGAGACAACAACCACCCCTGTACACAGGCCTGCAAGGATGGCAGCACCCGGCTGTGTGGTTTGGGTGGGAGGCACAGGACATGGAGCTCAGACCTCGGGAGGAGCTCTCCTTCCTGCAGGTCAGAATGCAGTGGGCAAAACAGTACTTAGTGGTGTTGATCCAACAAGAACATAAAATAGCATCGTGGGAAACACCTAGTGCTCTGAGAAGCAGGTGGAGCCGTCTTTTTGCTTAGCCCAGGCCTGCCAGGCCACCTACAGTGCTCTGTCTGACGCTTATCATAATTAATGGGTCTACCTACCACACTGCACCCAAAAGGACCAAGTGTCTCCAGGGCTGCCAGCCAAACTTTACACACTAAAGGGGCAAGGGTGTGGTCGTGGACGCGAGCCCAGACTGTTCTGTTCAGATTGCCTTGGCCGCCCAAATCCACACTGAGACCCATGGATTCTGGCCGTATCTGTATTTGTCTGCACCAAAAGCCTCACACTGAGAGCCAGAAAGTGACCTTGCTTCCCTGTTCTTTTCATTCAACACCTATAGCCCTTTCCAGACACCAGGCATTTTACAAACATTAACTCACTGTGTTGTCTTGAGGTTGATCTACTGTCTCCCCCATTTCACATGTGGAAACGGAAGCAGTAAGACAAGGGGATTGTCCCATGCTGCAGAACCCAGAGACAGGGAACTAGGATTTGACCCTGGCTCTCAAACCTACACTGTGTGGCATTGCCCAGCTCTTGCCTGAGTCCTAGCTTCCCTTTTCAAAAGGAATGATCCTGAATACTCCTCCCGCCATGGGAATGGAGGGTCCTCCCACTGGCCACTGGGCCCAGCAGACAGACTGCTCTGGGGGCGAGCGTTCTGGCTTGCCATACCTCGGGGATGAGCTGGAAGAGGGCGTTGGAGTAGAGGGTTCCAATCGCCAGAGCTATGAAGTAGAGCAGCAGCCTCTTGTAAAAGGTCTTCTTCATGAAGGGCACCACGCTGGCCCCCATGAGGGAGCAGAGGGAGATGACGGTGACACAGAGGAGACCGTATCCCCACACTGCCAGCCCACCCAGGACAAGGAGGGGGCGACCACCATTTAGGGGACAAAAATGGAGAGGAGAGGGGAGAGGCAATAGGGAAAGTACAAGTAGGGAGGGAGAGAGAAATAGAAAATTATTAGTGATTCAAATGCGCTAAAATTTCCTTCAATCAGTACGGGAGAAATGAGGAGGAATTTGGGGTAGCCTTGGAACCCTGTGACTACTACTGCCCCTGTTGCCTTTGGTGTCCTGAGTCACACCTGCCAGCTGATGTGACTGGTAGGCAGGACAGGCCGCCCTTGTCACATATCTGAGATACTCCCAGGCCCATCACAAACTTTGGGGCCAAGGGTTCTCTAATAGGACACAAAAGGAAATGGAAAGAGATCGCTCATCGTGCTGCCTGGTTTGCTTCTGTACCCAATCCATGTCACAGAAGCACAGGTGACATGACCTGCAGGTCAACAAAGCCAGGTGTGCAGAGAACAGGACCTGAGGGCCAGAGCCACTGCTGAATTTTAGTTGTTTTTGTTTGTTTCCATTTGCTTTTTTGAGAGGGGCTCAAGCATAAGAGAAGAGAGTTCCAAGATCACCTCATCACAAAACATGTCCTCCGGCATTTCCTCTTAGGACACATGCCAGGCTGAGAGTCCAGGCCCGGAAGTGGGCAGGACAGACCCAGGCCTGAGACATGGGGACTTCCATTCAAACAAGCAATGAGACATTTCATTTCAAATCTTTGAAAAATTGAAAATTCAATTTCTGGAGCTGAAAAAAAAGCCCAAGATGAGGCCTCCCCTGGGAAGTACTTGCTAGATCCATGAGGAATTTTGAGATGCAGCATCGTGGTTACTCTTAAATCACTGCTTCTCTCTTTATGAAGGAGGGCCAGGCCAGGTGAGGAATGAAAGCCCACATGGCATCTTTTCTGGGTCAATTTTTTGGTTAGAAAGAGTTGGGAAGCTGCTGACATGAGCTCTTTACATAAAGTGGGTCCAGCTCTCCTGGTTGATCACATTACTCCCCACCCCCCAGGCAATAGGAGCATACCTGCCCAAGAGGAAAGTGTGAGCAGGCTGTCAACTTGGGCCTTATTTTCATAGCTCCTCAGTGATGACAATTAAAAACAAAATTACCAAACATTTTACAATAGTCAAGGAAGGGTCCCAGGAAGTCAGTTCTCTCAGGAGAAGGTCAAGATGCAAGGTACCAAGGATTCTTGCCCCCTTTATTTCTTTTTCTGTTTTGCAACACTGAGGGTTGAACTCAGGGCCTCCAAACTGAGCTACATCCCCAGCCTTTTTTTATTTTGAGACCGGGTCTCACTAAGTCACTAAAGTTGCCCAGGCTGGGGCTGGAACTTGTGATCCTCCTGCCTCAGATCCTCAGAGTGCTGAGATTACAGGCCTGCACCACCATAGCCAGATTATTTTATATTTTCAACTTTGTTCTTGTCAAATAATCTGTTCTAGTTCTGCTCTGAAAGTCACAAAAGATGGCTTGTTTATATGTAAGGATCATCTTACTTTTCAGGCTATTCTATGTATTTAGTTTCCTCCCGTTGCACTCAAGATGGATGATCCACTGGCATCCACAGACAGACACCAGGGTTTCCCTCAAAACAGAGGGCACGCTATGTGACCATCAGGGGCACTGGCCCTTGGGAGCCCTGGAGTGACTGAGAGATCCCCAGCTGGGGACAAGTGCTAAGAGCCTTGCATCTCACGTCACCTGAAGAGGCCAGAGCAACCTGGGTGCCCAAGGAGAGAGAGAGGGGACCCTGAAATCCCAAGGCAGAAGTCATCAGTGGCCTTTGATATGAGGGTCAGTTTGTGTTTCAGGAGGCAGTCACCAGGTGCCTTAGCGCACAGGGGAGGGGACCTCAGCCAGGGGGCTCGGCGCGCATCTGTCTACTGCACCTCTGGGATGAGCTGGAAGAGCGCGTTAGAGAGCAGCGTTCCAATTGACAGGGCGATGAAGTAAGTGAGCACCCGGTGGAAAAACGCTCGCTCTGTGCACGGCATGACGAGGACTCCCAGGAGAGAGGCCAGGTTAATCAGTGAGACACTGAGGAAACCAAAGCCCCACACTGCGGAGGAACAAGAACAGACGGGGCCTCCATTACTAAGGGCTGAGCCACTCTGAACACAGGGTGACCAGGGTGACCAAGTGAGCAGAGACCCACCAGTCCTGTGGGGTCGCCTTTAGCACGGAGCTGTGGAGGAGCCTCAGAAAAAGCTGTCAGGGTCGCTTACCTTTCAGATGGGGACCAAAGGACCACATGAAAGACTGAATACCACGTTAAACCATGACAGTGGAGAGTGAGACACAATGTGGTACAATGTGCCAAATTAGGTAGCATGTGCTGGCGCTAGGAACATCACGACAGTCAGGTCTACAGAGTTGTGTGGTGTTGCTCACAGACACGTGAGCCTACTGGCTGCAGCAAGAACAGTGAGGTCTTACAGGACAGAACTGGGTGTGGTGGCAAATGCCTATAATCCTAGCAATTTATGAGGCTGAGGTAGGAAGATTACCGTAAATTCAAGGCCAATCTGGGCTACATAGTGAGTTCAAGACTAGTCTGAAACACATAATGAGACCTTATCTCAAAAAAAAAAAGATTGGGCCCCTTGTGGTTTAACAAAATCAAAATCAAAAGCAGGCAGCCAGGAGTGATGCTGCACATCTATAATCCCCGCACTCTGGGAGGTGATGGCAGGAGAATCACAGGTCAAAGCTCAGACCAGACTGGCAACTTAGAGACATTGACTCAAAAAAAAAAAAAAAAAAGGTTAGGGACTGGGGATGCAGCTTAGTGCAAAGGCCTGGGTTCAATTCCTGCTCCCCCTCAAACAAAAGTGAAGTCCAACCCTCTGAGTGCTCACCAGCCATGCTGACCAGGCTCTCCCGATGTGGCAAAGCAGTTGTGTGAACGCAGTGTAACAATCGGCGCCTGTCACTCTCTCCCCGCATCACCCAGGGCACCGTCTACCACACGCCAGTCCCCACTCCTCCCTCGTTCACCTTCGATGGCACTCGGCTTCCCCTCCTCCGTCTGCTCGTTCTCCTCGTTCTCCTGGTTCTCGGCTGAGCAGGCCTGGGAATCCAGCTGCTGAAGGATGGTGGGGCAGAACTCCTGGAATTCATTCCTCCCAATCCTTGACTGGTTGCTGAAATTGTGGGCAGCGAAGAGGTCTCGAGAACTAAAGCACTAGAGAAAGAGAAAGATGGGCAAGAGAGCCGTGAAACTGCAAAGCCCATGGCTTCCCCTGCTACTGTTCTTCCCAGAGATAAAGATGGAAATGGTAAAGATTAAGAAATCTAGAAACTCATCCCTAAGGTAGCACCTCAACTTGAAAACCTCCCCAGTGATCTCAGCGGTCAGTCACCCGGGGAGGTTACACAGGCTAAGCACACGCATCCGGAAATGGTTACTGGGAGAAGTTGTAGGAACAACCAGATTCCCAATCGTGGTGACCACGGTGTGGTTTCAGGAAAACAAGCTCTATCTGCATAGCTGAGGATACAAGCTTCATCTGGATACTAAATCTGGATGCCTATCTCAACGGCCAGGGAGCTGCTACGTTAAAATGCAGATTCCAGAGTCCCCTTGAGAACTGGCACTTGTAGGGGTAGGGCTACCCTTAACTGTTAGGCTGAAGATGTGTTGACAGAGGCAGGGGAAGGAAAATCTGAAAATTCAGCACCAGCCATCGGGCAAGTCCTGGCTGGCCAGCGGATATGAGCACCCAGCCAGCCACCTTGGGAGGTGTTTCACTGCCAAGCGGCTCTCACATACCGTTCCTGGGAAATGCTGCACTTTTACTAATTATACTCTATCCCCATACACTCTGAGCTCGTTAGGCTTATCTCTGAGAATCAGCCCTCTGAGTGTGCTGACAACTGAAATTTCTGGGCCAATAAATTGGGGGCTGGAGACTGGTGATGCAGGACACTGCTGCTGCCCTGGCAGGCCCAGAGACCCACGTGGATGTTGTTGTTCTGCCCACCGGCAGGGCAGCCTCTAGACCGACTCGGGCATCTTCCACACCCGGCTGGCTCTGAGTCTATGCCACATGGTCCCTTTGCCCACTTTGTTGTGCCAAACTATACATCCTTCAAGAAATTCGGTTCAGGGACAGCCAGGGGGTGAGCCTGAATCCCAGTTACTGTCCATCCACAGAATATAACGCTTCATTTTTATTCCAGCTACCTCTGAGCTCCCTATCTTGACAGTAACCTGCTTAAATATGGCTTACGTTTCTGTTTCCCACAGCACTTGGTGCAGGAGCAAAGCAAATATATATAGAGAGCCTGCTGGCTGGCTTAACTTCGGCCACCACCAATAGCCTCAGACTTGAACCAGTCAAGATGATAGGGAAGAAGGAATACAGAACCAGTTGCCAGAAGACCTGGAGAGGTTCTCTGGTATTAGTCCTGCTCCCTGCAGAACTCCCAGAAGATGCTCAGAGTTCTCTCTTGGAAGAGAAGAGACTCCCTCTTGCACCTGGCAACCATGCATGCATGGGGCTTCGGGAAATAGAAATGCTGTGGTGGGAGCCATGGCACAGCAGCAGCTCCCAATGGTCCAGGCCGAGAACCCTACTTCCTAGTGGCCCTTTGGGAGGGCTTTAAAGTCAAGTGCTGCTAACGACACAGGCTGTGCTGATCTCTGCAGGGGGTGCTAAGAAACTGCCTGCTTGCTGTCATCTGTCCACCCCATCCCACCAAGCTGCTCACCCACCCTCAACCCCACCACACGGGACCTGAGAGACCACTGGCAGTGTCAGCCCCGAGGGAGCCTTACCACGGAGAGGTTCCTGTGTCCCTGTGCATGCTGGGTGACGTTCTCGCGGCCCACTCCCACATCCAGGTGGTTGAGCAGGGCCTTCAGCTGTGGCAGGGTGAGGCTGTTGCCCTCGCCATAACGCTGCATGAGGTCGTCTAGGAAAGAGGCAGCACTGACGGATGGCTGCCCCACAGACCTCGATAGCGCCTGGGGAGTGGCGGTGCAGGTGAGCAGAGCCAGCAGGAGGTAGCTGGGGAGGGCCAGGTGCAGCAGCATCATGGTGACCAGGTTCACCTGTAGGACCGCAAGTCTAGGTGAAGGAGCTGCCTCACCCTTTCCTAATCCCCATGACAAGCATGAGGGGCGTTCCTTGACACCTTGAATCTGACCGGAACCAAGACAGGACTTCAGCACTTCTCTACTCCTTCTACTGAGAAACCTTTCTTTTTCTTTTTCTTTTTCTTTTTCTTTTTTTTTTTGTGATACTGGGGATCGAACTGAGGACCTTGCACTTACTTGTGAGGCAGGCACAGTGCCACTGAGCTAAATCTCTGGCGCAGAGTATAATGGCACACACCTGTAATCCCAGCACTCTGGGAGGCTGAGATAGGAGGATTGCAAGTTTGAGCCCAGCCTGGGCAACTTGGTGACTTAGTAAGATCCTGCCCATGGCAGGTAAGATCTAAGTAAATATAAAAGGACTGGGAACACAGCTCAGTGCCAAGACCGTGGATTCAATCTCTAGCACCATTCAAAAAAATGTTGGGAGGGTTGGGGAAATACTAAGAAAAAGGACACACTCAAAAAGAAAAAAAAAAAAAAAAAAGGACAAACTCAAAAGGTTTGACTAAATTTAGAGAAAAACATAGGGGCCAGGGGTGTGGCTTAATGGTACGGAGCATCTGACACACGAGGCCCTGGGTTCCTCCCCTAGCACCAAATAAATAGTGTGGTTATGATTCAATAGAGGTATTATCTTTTAGAGATACTGAAATAACCACAGATTAAGTGTAATCTCATTTGGATTTGGTTCAAAATAATAATGGAGTGTATATGGAGGTACAAGGTGGGACAAGACTGGGCAGGAGGAAACCACTGTTTTGTTTTCGTTTTTTTGGTACCAGGGATCGAACTCGAGCCTGTGGGCTGGTGAGGCAGGCAGTGGAACCACTAAGCTAAATCCCTGGCCCCAAAGCACTGTTGAAATAAGTGACGGAAGATGGGACTACATTAAGACTCTTCTGTCTATTGCTGCGCATGTTTGAAATTTTCCAAAGTAAATAAAAGGTTCTTAAAACAATAAATACTATAACTAAAAGTAAATATATAGGACTTACCCTAATCAAAGAAATAAAAAAATAAAAATGCCATGCCTGTAATCCCAGCATTTGGGAGGCTGAGGCAGGAGGACTGGCAAGCCTGAGTTACATAGTGAGACCCTGTCTCAAAAACCCAGGAAAACAAAAAATTAAAAGGCTATATCCAGAATGATGGGCTGTGGTTAAATAAATTATATCCATTTCACAGAATATTATATAGACAGAAAAAATTAGTCCTATATAAGACGTTTAATAAAAAAATAGAAGTATGCAGCAGTGGCAAGAACTGAAAAGGAACACAAGAGAAACGAGAGCTTAAAGCAGCAGAGCTGTGGGTGACGTTTTGTTAAATCATCCGTCTCCCTCAGAGAGGCTGTAATTTAATATCAGTGACATCAGCAAATATACGGAGGGAACATGCACCTCTTGCTCCAGGCCGGAAGAACTCAGCCCGGCAGTGGGTCCCTCCCAGGCACCAGGGGCTCGGCCCCTGCCTCCACGCGTCATCCTGCCTCTAGGTCTCTGCCTGTGACAAGAACAGGATCGGCACAGCTAGGAACGCAGCTCTGGCCCCGCCCATTCCAGCAGTGTCACTTTAGGTAACTTATTTAGCTAGACAGCACAGAATGACCCAGGGCGGCCATGCAGTTTACCATGGCCACTAGCGCGGACAGACAGGGCTGGAATTCCCACTAGTCGGCCTCCCTCTACCTGTTTTCTCAGCTATAAAACTGGTGCCCACCCCCTGAGGTCACTGTGAGGACCTAAGGCACACACTGTGGATGGAAGAGGGCTGCCTGAACTGAGGGGCTCGAAATCTGGCTATGATTCTAATTAGCAAGATTTCCAACTTCAGCCAATCCTCCCACTTCCCAAATTCTGACTCAGCTCCAATACTAAGCTACTAATGGAAATGTTAGGAATCCCCTGGGGCTAATTTTACATCAACTAAAATGATCACAATTCCAAGCCTGTCCGCACATATCATCGGGGACATTCTGGCACGCACAGAACCTGCGGACATACAATGTCCCTCTTCGGTGGAAGATACCCCGAGTCAAACAAGTAGATGGATGGGTTAGGCATCAGCAGAAATGATGGTACAGAAAAATGTCACTTTGAGACTCACAACTCTCAAATCTCTACTTAGAGATGATGAACGATGGTGAAGGGGGTGGATCTTAGGCACATATTAAAACCCACCATTCCGAAAGAGCGTTCATCTACTCAGGCGGCTGCCAGCCCGCACGTGTCTGAAGTGCTGTCAAAGTGAGGAGAGGAAGTCGGCTTGGGCTCAGCAAAGGAGAGGCAGGACGCGAGGGACAGCACCTGGCACTTCCCACGGCAGACCCGCTAAGCACTTAGAACTCATTGTTTCCTTTCAAAGAAGTTGGGAAACAACCTCATCTAACAGATAAGGAAGCCAGGGTTCAGAGATTAGGAAACGTGCCTACAGCCAGCCAAGCCAGAAATTGAATCTCTCATGAAGTGAAGCCAGGGGTGGATGACAATAAAGTGTCATCCTCGGTGTTCGAAGTAAAACACACATCCTGGATGCCATGGGCAGCCACAAGATCTGCAAGCCTCTGAGCAGATCTGACAACTTTTATCCTCATACAGGTCGTGAAGAGCTGGCGGAAAGTGCCGAGGATGCCTTAGACGCCAGACTGAATTCCAGGTGCCTGCTGGAGGATCACAGAACAGAACAGATGACTGTTCCCATTTCCAATCTACTCCTCACATTTATTGCAGACACTTCAAAACACTTTGAAAAAAGCAAACAAAAACTCTTCAAGTGTGGACAATGTGGATGAGCATTCTCCGTGAGGTAAGCGCTGACCAAGTATTTGCTGTCCACTGGCCCAGGCGCCCTTGAGTGGTTGCTAGGACAGCCTGGAGCCCTAGGGAAGAGGCTGTGTGATGAGGTCAGTGAGACCGGGTATAGTGGTGCCCACCTGTAATCCCAGCACTCTGGGAGGCTAAGGCACGACTGTAAGTTCCAGCCCAACATGGGGCAACTTAGCAACTCAGGGAGACCTTGTCTCACAATAAGAATTTTAAAAAGGGATGGGTGGGCCGTGGATTTAGGTCAGTGGTACCAAAAAAACAAAACAAAACAACAGGCTGGGATGTTGCTTAGTGTGAAAGCCCTGGATTCAACCCCTGGAATCACCAAAAAGAAGGGATGGAAGGGGAAAGGGTAGGAAGAAGAGAGAGAGAGACAGACAGACAGAGAGAGAGAGACAGAGAGAGAAAGAGAGAGAGACAGAGAGAGAGAAAGAGAGAGACAGGGAGAAGAAGGGGGGGAGAAAGGCCACAGAACCGCTTTTACTTCTCCCAGGTGACCTTTTTTCTCTCTCCCTGCCAGCATGGCTGTTCTTGTCTCTAACAAAATATGCTGCTTTGGTGGCAGCCAGCTGATGCTGTCCACATGCTCAGGGGAAGCTCTGGGGAGTCCAAACCCCAGTAGAGCGCAGCCTGGAGTCCTGATGCTGAGCTCACCAGGCCCTGAGGACACTTCCAACCCAAGTGACCCAGGCCTTTTGGCAGACATGGAAGGGGAGTTTTCTGCTCCAGTGGGTTTTTTTTTCCTTTCTTAACTGTAAGTTATTCTTAGCAAAAAAAAAAAAAAAGTTTATAAAAGATTCTTTGGCAGAAAGAAGAGAGGAAGAAAACAGACTGTTCTTGCCATGGCTGGGAAGGTGAGATCGGGCAGAGGTCCTGGCTGGCAGCCCCCACCAGGCCACTCCAGTCCCCCAGAGAGCTGATCTGTGCCCTCAAGTCCAGACCTGCTAGGTCTGGGTACTGGGACAGAAAGTGACAGGGCAGAAGAGGAGAGACAAAGGAGGAGGCCCAGACCACCCACCCTTCCCATCGCAGAGAAGGGGGGTCTCACTGCCTCTGTTCCCTTGGTGCAGGGTCCCAGGAGGAAATGATTCTGGTGCCTCAGGTTGGTCTCTAAGTGCCAGGCCAGGCCCAACTGCAGGTAGGAGAATGAAAGATAAAGGAAGTCAGCAAACCAATGCTTGTACCAGAAACTTCTGTGGGCTACAGAAGTTTCCTTGCCATCCTAGGGGCTCCTAAATTAGAACCACACCTGCTTTTGCTGTTTCACTGGATCCAGAAGCATTTTGTGCACAAGAAGTAATTTTGTTCTGTGGGCAGACATGTTTTACCATCGCTTTTACCACACTTTGTTCTTTTCTAATCCCACCTCTTCTCATCGACCCTCCCTACACTCTGGCTTCCCGTCTGGCCAGTGCTTTCTCCCCTTTTTGTGTTACTGCTAGGGCCCCTTCACCAGAGCGCCTACACCTTCACAACTGTGAGCTAAATAAATCTCTTTTCTTTATGAAATACTCAGCCTCGTACCTTTCCTGCTAGTAACAATATATAGAAAAATGGGCCGATATAGAAATGTACCCATGAGTATTACAAGACAAAATATGTTGAAACATCACATAGATTTAAGATGGAGAACTGAAATGGCAGGGTTTTCCTCCTGCAGATAATAAATAAAATGAATTACAGGGCCAGGCATGGTGGCTCACACCTGTAATCCCAGCACTCAGGAGGCTGAGGCAGGAGGATCACTATGAGTTTGAGACCAGCCTGGACTACATAGTGAGTTCCAGGTCAGTCTCAACTACATAGTGAGACCCTGCCTCAAAAAAATCAAAAAAAAAAAAAAAAATTACAGGAGGAAAAAAAAAGGTAAGAAGCAAATAAATTCACCAACAGCCAACACATAGGGAAAACAGGCACACAGGCATAAACAGATACTATTAACTTCAAGATCAGAGGGAAAGAAAGCCACGAAGGCAGCACCACATGCCATTCAACTCCTACCCCTGGCCCAACCCTGACAACCCAAATAAATGAGAACAAAACTAGGATTCTCATTAAGGTCCCCAAATCTGCCAAGAGGCAAACTGTTGCCCCTTCTCTGTGCTCTCCAACTGAGGAAGAGGTGGA